GGCGATTTATCGACTGATGTACTATTGAACTACTGAAAATGATCGACAAATAGGTTGTTTCCAACAAACACGTTAATAATCGATTCTTTACCACAGCTTCAAATGAGGAAATATCGATAATCGATCATTCACTCTTCGTTAATGATGGAATTGGATCGATTCTTGGAGGAGTCAGCTGCTCCAACGAGAATTGATTATTTGACCAAGGTTCAAGTGGAGAAAAGCCAGTGGGCAGTTAGGCACGCCCCAGATCAGACCGTCAAAAATAAGTCTTGTTTGTTCGACAAATCAGATGTATTTCAATTGAAACAGCGGACTGATTATTGAAATCGATAGACAAAGGGCAAATGGAGCAATCCTATTGGTGGAGGCGAGTGGTTAAAATGGACAAAGGAGGTAAGTAATAGAGTAACTAACTGCAACCCTCAAAAGACCCTATAGTTAGTCATTTTCCCTATTAGTCCATAACAATCACCACCCGTTTCGAGCAACAGGATTGCTCAGTTAGCCTTTTGTCTTTTATAGCTATCTCTTTTTCAATCAGTTTCAATAATAATCGGCCCATGGGTGCGATAAAAAATCGTAATTCGATACCTACAGTTCTGGATTTCTTTACATATTTTTTTATTGTGAATGCATATTTACTGCAGGCTTTACTAATTAAAACAATAACACACAAAATTAGCCCGACTAATCCAACAGACAAATACAGAGAATATGAGTAGCCAAGACTAGAAAACACAAAGCCTGAAACATTTTGGGGTGATTTCAACCCCCTCCTCGACCAGGAATAAAAAAATAAATAAAATTATAATACACAAGAATTTAAGACGCCCATTCCTGACGAAAAAAACGAAAAGAAGTTACCTTGTCGAGGAGGGGGTTGAAACCACCCCGAAACGTTCCAGGCTTTGTGTTTGTTTTTTAGCCTTGCTTACTCATTTTCTTGTGTATTTCACTTTCTAAAAATCAAAACCATAAAATTTAATTGTATCCTGGTTATTCGCATTCTCCAATTCGTCCCCGATATGAGATTCTGCCGAGGAACGATCAAGCACGCAGCTGTATACTGCCGTGCTACGGAAAAAAACGCCGTATAAGCATTTGAATGTTGTCAAATTGCCTCTCAGAAAATATTTATTTCTGATGACTGCCATGCATATTTTTCCTTGAATTTTTCAGAAACTTTAGATCAAATCACGAGCAGAATTCTTCAAAAAATTGGATGAAAAAAGTTTACAAAAATCCCCGAAAATTCGAGATGTATCGAAGGAAATTTGGCGACGCTTGAAAGCTCATACGGTGTTCTTGGCACTACAGTATAGGACTGCGAACCCACAGCTTGGGATAGCGGAGAAAATTATAATGAGCGATCGGAATAATGAAAAAGCTCAAAATTGCGGTCACGTAAATTTGAGCGGGGTAGTGATTACTCGGCTGCGGCGCTGCGGCGCACAGTGGACTTAGTCAATCAGAAAGGTCGGACATGAAATTTTTGACTAAAACTGAAAATTTTGATGTTTATTTCGTCACATCTTAAGCTCTAAGAGGTGGTTCTTGAAAAAAATTTCACGAGAAAACCAATGGCATCACTCTCAGAATCTCAACATTTTGTACTTACAGGGTTATAAGCGTTTAAAGTTTCCCAATTTCGTCCGACCTCTCCTATTGACCCGATCCATTGTGCGGCGGGAACTCAACGCGGATACCGGTGCCTACTTAGAATGATTTCAAGTACGTGGACGCGCGGAACAAGAAGGTTTGTTTTGAAATGATTTAAGGGATGATTGAATTCGCAATGCGCCGCGGCGGGGCGGCGGGGCGGAGAGAGAGAGAGAGCGCTTGCAACTTATAATTAACTAATAGATAAGTATAAGGTTCGGATTTATATGGTGTTAACGAAAGGGTAATGCATCATCGGGACCTGACGGGGACCGCGGCGCATCTGGACGATATCGCGTTAAAATAATAACGCCGGCCATTAAAAATAATAAAAATAGTAATGACTCCCTCATAGCGTGAGATCACGAATAATAGATTATAAAACCCCAGATCTGAGAACATGATCTGCTTTACACTTTCGCCGGGGCCCGGCCGGGGCTCGGGTCCAAGCCCGCTCGGCGGCGCCCATCCGTACCTGTCCGACGCCGCCAAGCAAACCCGCCCGCGCCGATCTAAGCCGTCCTAAGAAAGAACGCCGTATTAATACTTGGACGTTGCCGAATTTATCCCATTAATAAGTTCATTTTTAAGACTAGTTTTGTTATTAGTCCTTGAAATTTTCGGATACTTTAGCTGGAATTGCTAAAAAACATTCCTGAAATATCGAGGTGGTGAGGTGGGGTGGTGTAATTCACAATTCTCCCTGAAAATGCTTGTTTTCTGAAGGGTCATTCGGCAACGTCTGAAGGCTGATGCGGCGAAAAAATGAGGCAGCCTTACGATTTGAAATTTTTACAGGATATTCTGCCGGAAGAGAAGAAAAATCAAGGAAGTAGTCAATTGCCAAAGAAAAAATAAAGTATGACAGGGAGTCTGCCATGTTGCAAGCGGAGATACGTGGTACGTAGTATTGCGAGAAGCCTTTAGAATGGAAATTTATGAATGCATCAAGGATTTAAGATTTGAGTACCTTTTTTTTTCTTTCATAGAATTTTGCGAAAAACACGACTGGTTTTCCCCGAAACGATTTCCCGAGCGCAAAGAAAGCTTTCAAAGTTGATAGTGAGACAGATCCCACGCTGTGAGAGTCCCCCTCTATGTAGGTATAGTCAAACCACAAACTCTCCCTGCACTTATAGGGAGCAAATATATTGGCAGGGTTGCTTGGTTCCAGCCTTGGAGTCTCCAAATGGCAAACCTGTCAGTGTATTTTCGCCCTGAGTGAACTCAGTTTGAGAACTGATACCTTAGAAAGAGAGCATACTCCTTACTGTCGTCGTGCTTGACAGAGCGCCTTCAATTTTCACGGGTAGGCAATTTCGTGACCTAGGATCACGTTGATTTGTATTCATTTCGCCGTGCTGTTTCGCCGGTTGAACGGCCAGCCGCCCGGTGGTCCAACAATAAGTGCATGCATGATGGTGTCAGGCTCCATGTTGATGACTTTTGATGACTTGAGGAGGAAAAAAAATAGTCTTTCGCAATTTGCCGCCCTCAAAAATTCGTGCCCACTGGCCGTGGCCCGTGTAATCCTGGCTTCACCTTGCGATATTTAGGCGAAATCAGGTTATGATCGTTCCTATGTAATTTTTCACGCTGAATACGAAATTTCGGATGTTCCTTGTGCTACACGGAAAAAAAAAGTTGCTAAAGTACAACATCCAACATCCTGGATGTTAAAAGTCTACACGACACCTCTTGAATGTCATGGACACTCAAACTGTGAAAGTAACATCTTATAACTACGTTGAATTAACAACCGTAGCGTTCAAGGGTTGTCACGCAGATTTTTAACATCCGGGATGTTACTTCAGCAACTTTTTCCCCCGTGTGGAGGAAAAATTAAAATGTGAAAAAATGAAACTTATTTCCGTGGGAACACTAGAACTACCGCTTGAGTCGTGGAAAGCTCATAAAACGGGGGGAATCGCGATTTTCCGTAGCTTTTCGCCTCTTTTTATGTGAAAAATGTATTTCTTTGCACAATTTCAAGACAGTATTGCATGCAAATTAAAGCTGATGAAATTTTATATAAAATATTACAGATTTTCTTTCGCTCTAAGTCTAACAGGAGCGCCTCTAGAAAAGCTCCAAAACCGCCAAAAATCAAGATTTTTCGGCATATTATAGAATCTTATTCGCTCATGTGCAAAAAAGGCATACTGATGACTTCCAAAATCCAGTCCTATTAAATTTTCAACACAAATATGTACGAGTATACGTCGCTCCTATCAGCGTTGTTGAGCGCACTCTGGCGCTCAACAACACCCAAACGCCACGTGTGCCTGTCTTCTCGAAAGGAACTAACAACGTAATAAAGTAAACACCTTTTCGACATTTAAATGATGTCACAACTTACAAGTTTCTTGCGTAGGTGAAAAAATAACGAATCTGGTTGGGTCAAAAGCTTGATTACTTAATACAAATTCATTGATTAGCGCCAGCGGAGAGATTAATGTCTTACATTTGTAATTGGGATTTTTTTTGATGGGTAAATCCTGCGATTTCTCCTAAAAATATGCAGTTACAACGGCAGTGGTTCTACTTTTAAACAGCAATGGATTTCCCCGCCCAGGAGCGACGCTAAATTTCGGATTTGTCGACCCCCCTTCCCTCCCCTTACGTACAGCTTTTGTGGACGTAGATCTTTTTCTTTTGTTACGTAAAAACAAAAGCGTATAACGCTCCCCTCCATCCTTAAGGCGTTACTTATTTTATAGACGGCCCCCCAATGGAGCCCACAAAACTTCAGACGGTCTCTTATATAGGCGGAACATGAAACTTTCCGCATGAGGCCAGGGTATCTCATCAATGGGGGGGGGGCGGCTGGGGTACGAATAAAAGATAATTCCACTGGAGGGGGTCTGCGGGATTTCCCTGGCCCCAGGGTTTTTTTCCTTGCTACAAAAGGGGGTTTGAAGGGCTGCTCTCAGTTTATTTTCAGGATGAAAAATGTGTCGCACTTACTTGGCAAAATCCCTTACATTTCCGNCTCCACTCGGGCCCGTACTGTCTCCCGGCGACTTTTGTAAACTGGCCTAATCTATAGAGTACTCTATCGGTCCGAACAGTAACTATACTGATTTTTAGTTCTGAATACTGCTACTAGAGCGCCCTACTATGCCGACGTTCAACGCTCAACATTGGTTAGTGCTGCTCTCTATCAAGTACAAATTCAAATAGACTGGTAAACAGTCAGGAAACCTAATTTGAGGAAAGAATGCTTTATCTTTCTTTCCTTCGCGAGTAATTGCAAATTGTATCCCATATTCTCTCTCTCTTGTTATATGTGTTAGTGAAATTCCGTTATAAAAATGATCATGGAGTGGAATCATTTATTGTGAGAATATGGGAAGACGGTACGCGGTGAATTACACTATGGTCGCTCGTGACCGAATAGCTCCGTGTCTCAGTGTCTAGAATAACGATCAAGCTACGGTTGGTATCAAATATAACTAAATTTCTGCATTTCTACCTGTTGTCGGGTATCCGCTCTTGTTGTGATCACGTCTCACGATTCGGTGTGTTGTGACTTTGTGGGCAGATCGTATGTTTAGTCGGTTTCTATCGCATATTATAGTTCGTAAGTGTAACGGAATTACGCGGAATGAAAGGACACAAGTGATCCAATAGTGAAGTGCATCAACAAGCCTGTTCGCTGGCCCTGTGTGTAAAGTGTGTCCAAGATTTCCGTTTGTAAACACTCCACTTTTTAAATTTTGATTGCACATGTTATCTAAAAATCGCCGGCGGTGTATTTCATTATCCAATTTTGTCTTCGTTTGTGGTTTCGTGCTTCATCAGTGATCAAAATGGATTAAAGAACCAGACTCACATGAGTTAGATCGCGTCCTAATGGATTAACTCCTATGCAATGTAAGTATCTTTTCTCCGAACTTTTGACCTTGTATGAATGTATGATTTACTGTTATGAGCAAATGGGAACTTTGCTACATGTAGAGCACAGTCAGGGACCAGTTCTTTAGGACGATCCAATCATAGGGCAACTTCGTGTAAGGTCCTCGTATAAACTCGGAGGATCAGACCTTCGACCCATCCATCGCCCACACGAGAAGTGAGACCAAACTAACCTGAAAAAGTAACTGAATAACCTCTGTGGCAGCTGAATAATAGGAATAAAAGTGGGTTCTTTCTTAGGAGGAAAAGCTAAAATTCTTAAGGAAAGAACATTTCACAAGAAAGTCTCCCTTCGCAACGAGGAAAGGCTCCCTCGCCACGAGGAAAGGCTCCCTCGCCACGAGGAAAAGCTCTCTCGCCACGAGGAAAGGCTCCTTCCCTTTGGAAAGGTGTCATCAGCTAAGTTGGCATTTGTTCACTTGCTGCTTGCAAGTGATCGCGATTAAGTTGTCCAATAGGCAATGAAGATTGACGTGAGGTAGAGTATGGACAGATCGCTTCATGGAGGACTTAGGGCCCCAAAGTGCAGCCACCCTTTGAACAACTTCTAACGCACAAAATTTCACTGCCAGTCTGTAGATTCCAATTTTAACGAAGATGGCTAAGAAAGTACGTAAATGAGCTTTCTTCCACAAAAATGAGTAAATTTATGCAAAAACTAAGTCAAATACTTACGTTCTTTATAAACAACGGTTCGTAACAATTGTATTAATAAATCGCTCTGGATAATTGAAATTCGTAGGTTGGCTGCATTTCTGGGCCCTAACTTTATTCGCGGAGGCATCGGTGAAGGCGTGATGGATTTTCGGAGTTTCACATCTGTCTATACTCTCGCTATACAGGTACTCTAACGTGAGGGTGAGCACAATGATTATTAGAGTCCTTGCAAGCGGAAAGTAAACAAATGCCAACTGAGCCGACAACACCACTTCTGTAGGTGGAAGAAACTGTCATAATGCATATTTTTGATGTCATGTGGTTACGGATTTTTTGTGATGTTCAACATCTGGCAAATGAATCGGTTTCTGTTCGACGGGCGAAAGTCTAAAAACCCATGATGAGCCCTGGAATTCATTTACAACGTAAGATGCCAAGGTTTATGAGTTTTTGAACTGACGTCCTTCTAGCAGAAACTAATTTACAGGTACTTTGTTGTAAGGATCCCATACAAGGTTGCAGCACTACTGCATGCTTATGAAATTTTACATTGACTACTCGACGAAGTATACTCGCTGCGATATTGATATAAAATACACGTAATTTGTTATGTTTTTATAAAACTGCTAATCGAGCATTTGCCGTGATATTGTGATGATGAACGCGTAATTTCTTTCTCCTCTACGAAACCCCTAGAATAATTGTGTAACATTTTGAATCTTCATGGAAATGTGCATTTAAAATGTTTTATGAATCATCACTGGTGAATGCGGACACCAAACCCACAACTATTCCAACTCCGGAGTAGTCATGCGGTATCGTGCGGCAATGAAGGAAAATCTATGATTTTTCCCTGTCTCAAGTTACCGACGTTTATGCTGCCGTGCTGAGGAAGAACGCCGTATGAGCCATCAGGTGTTGCCAAATTTTCTTTGGTAAATCACTTGTTTCAGAGAAAAATTGTAAATATTTTAATTTTTCAGATAATTTTATCCGCAATTTGACCTTAAGTTTCTGAAAATTTCAGGGGAAAAATATGTAGCTTTCCTGAAAAATCAACATTTTATCAAGGGAAATTAGGCAACTCCTGAATGTTCATACGGCGTTTTTCCTTAGCGCTGCAGTATGAGAGTAGGTAATGCATCGTTGTATGCAGAAGTCAAGCGTCCATGCAAGTATCTGGACTCTGGATTAGGTCGGTATTATTACGTGAAAATGAAGGAAAATCTTAGCTTTTGCCTGTCTCAAATCATGACGTTTATGAATGCCTCGATGTTCATGTCAGAAATGTCATGGTCTTTAGACGAAGAAAAACCGGGCAAATCTGGGATTAATCAGGGAATGAAAAATTTCAGCGCAAACTTGCAGGGTTGCCAGCGACCGGGAAAACCGAGAAAAGTCAGGGAAAAAAAATCAACCGGGAAAAGTCAGGGAATTTCGGTGTTGGTCAGGGATTTTTCTGATTTTTCGTGGAATTAGGCGCGGGCGGTCTCGGGCTCGCGTTGCGGGATTTTCATGCTCATTTTCACTTTAACAGACTTCGTCAGATCCATACTTAAAAGTCAGGGAAAAATATTGGAAAGTCAGGGAAAAGTCAGGGAATGGAAAAAAATAATTTGACTGGCAACCCTGAACTTGGTTTTTATTTTGCGGAAAAAATTATAGCTTTGATTTCAAAACGCCATGGTGTCTACTAGTCCGGAATTTCGTGGTATAGTATCGATTTTCTAAGGGCAGTCCGGAAGTACTGAAAAAGTGCGGAAACTCCGCAAGGAAGTCCGGAATTTATTCTTTCATATCACGCGTGCTTTTTAACGAAGCCTGAAAAGGACGCAATCCCCTGCGCGTTGATTCCGAGTGCAGTATTTGCTCGCAAGATCGCGATTGTACGGTCGGTTAATCTTCAAGCCACATACGAAAATCTGTGGCTAGGTACGTCATTTTTTGTCGCAATTCGAGCAAGAATCTCAAATAGAGATGCTGCTTGTGTGAGGAATTTGCGATTTGACTGTTGATTCTTATGTAAAAGTTCGCGAGAAACTCGATGGTGCCACTGTTTTTCTCTGAAATCAACTCCCAAGCTCAAAAAAAGCTTTCAACTTGAGGCCAAAATGGAGGGGATATCCCACGCTACCCTGAGAGTCCACCTCTACATCAAGACAAACGCTCCATGCAAAGATAGGGAGCAAATACATTAGCAGGGTTGCCGTGTTTTCAGTTCTAGAGTCCTCAAATAAAGTGGCAGCCCTGTCAATGTATTTGCTCCCTATCTTTGCATGGAGAGTTTGTCTCGATGTAGAGGTGGACTCTCAGGATAGCGTGAGATATCCCCTCCATTTTGGCCTCAACTTGAGGGCTTTTTTTGAGCTTGGGAGTTGATTTCAGAGAAAACCAGTGGCACCATCGTGTTTCTCACGAACTCTTACATACGAATCAATAGTCCAATCGCAAATTTCTCACACATGCAACATCTCCATCGTCGAAATGTTTCGAATTTCGTGCTTGAATGATATAAGTTCAGCTTTTTTTTTTTAAAAAAAAAAAAAAAAAAAATGGATGATGATGGGTACTTTCTCTACCCGCAAAGGGGACAAGATGGTAAAAACTTTGAGTGGATTTTATCCTAGCTAGTTATGACAAAGATTTCCTCCAAGACAAAATTCTCAAAATTTAATTGCCCAAATTTATCAGAATAAATCGTAAATTCCACTAAACGTCTACACAGAACGTCTACGGACGTCTCCATGATCGTTGTACGTGGCACGACGTTGAGATAGTCCTCAGGTTCAATTACGCTCGTCAAGTAAGTAAGGGCTTTTAATAAATCCAGACCGGAAAATGCACTGAGAGAGGGAGTCTGGAACCTATGAGTTTGCGGGAAAGATAGGAGACACAAGGTTTCGTGGCGTCCAAAAATCTAAAAATAATCCTTGGCGGTGAACGTCAGTTCTCCTGCCGCGGTCTCCGGGTCCTCTGTCGCCCGCCACTCAGTGTCCTCTTCGTCGCTCCTCCGTCATAACAGCGTATCTGAACTCCCGCATGAGCCCCAGAAAGCGTGGATTTATATGTAAAACAAGGCTGACGCTGGCACTGAGACACGTCTTTACGCCAGAGGGGTACGGTATGTCGCACAAAGCGCCCCTGGCGCCAAATTTATGGAAGTCATTCAACATCTTTCTCTCCTTTCGCCTCCGTTTTCCAGCTTATCCAATGGTTCGGAATGAATATCGAATAGAATAGTTTATCCATCTGTTATTTATTTTTTATTTATTGTTTTAGAGTCTCTATTACTTCTGCGTTCAGTAAATTTTAAATTACAAAAATTAAAAGTTACAATATTCAACATCTTTCTCTCCTTTCGCCTCAGTTTTCCAGCTTATCCAAATGGACTCGGAATGGATATACAATGGAATGGTTTATCCATCCTTTATTTATTTTTTATGTCTTGTTTTAGAGTCTTTCTTACTTCTAGATTCAGTAAATTTTAAGTCATACGTGTTGGTAGGTATTTAGAGTGAAAAATTATTAAACCGAGGCTTAATCGTAGATTTAAAGCAGCAAGGTGGCATCGAACGAAAGACGTGTATGAAAGATTGATAATTACGGTCAAATGTCTCCTGAAAATAATCAGGGGTGCATAATCTGACCTCGTGTGATCCAGAACACGTGATCGGCGATGGAAGTTTTGGCAAAGAGAGGAAGTTTTTGTCCAAAGTAAGAAATCTCAAGTAATTTGCTGGAAAAATCCCGACGGTTTATTGATGCTTTTGACTTTTTGGGATACCTACTTACGTTTCGAACAAATCCTAAGTGAAAAGCAAAAAAAGAAACCAAAAAACCTCACTTTAAATCATTTAGGAAAGTGGAACAATAAAGTATTCTTTGTCGGTGAGTGAAGAAAAAATTTCGGATCGCGCACGAAGCGTTCAGCCCGATGGCACTTTTTGCACCCCTGCCTGATATTTCACGAGATTATGATCCAGGAAACGTATTAGCTATCGATTTGATGGGCTGAATTTTAAGCCATTTTTCAGATATCCGAGAAATATAAATCTATGCCTTCGATCATTTTTGGCAAAGATTTGATAGTTACTTAGCGTTGGGCTGATGATCGACAGTTCGGTGCTGTAAAATTCAATGAAATTTTCCGAGGAGGATGACAAAATTTCACGAGATTCAAAATGTGAATTTTCAGAAACGTCCATAATTCATGGACCATAATATTAAAGAAAATTTCCAATCTCAGATCATTAGCTCAGCTCCAAAGAATGATTTAAGTCTGCCAACGTTGTTTGTAACCT